CCTCCTTTTTAATTTATTTATAAACGACATTAGTGACATAATAAAATTTTGCAAGTTCTTATTATTTGCTGACGATCTTAAATTATATTTTAAGATATCAAATTTGTCAGATTGCTTAATGGTCCAGGAAGATCTAAATTCCCTTTATGATTGGTCTGTCGCTAATGATCTTCATCGGAATAAAGATAAATGTTTTGCTATATCCTTTTCTAAGTCAAAGGATCCAATTAAATTTGACTACCGTATTAACTTAGATTGTCTTCAAAGAGTTAATGAGATTAAAGACCTGGGTGTAGTTTTTGATTGCTCCCCTTTTATCCCCCACATTAATAACATGTCAAACAAATCCTTTCGTATTCTTGGTTTCATTACAAGAAACTCTCGAGATTTTTCAGTATCGACATTTAGAGTACTGTACTTGACACTGGTTCGTAGTATCTTATCCTACTCTTCAATAGTATGGTCTCCTTATTATTTGAATCATATCTACACCCTGGAAAGGGTGCAAAACAAATTTCTCAAAAGTTGTGCGTGGAAATTAAATTTGCAAAATTCATCAATGGTAGAAATAAGATCATTGCCTAATCTTGATTCCCTTGAGGATTATAGAACTGGATGTGACCTAATTGACTGCTCTGATTTACTAGACCTTATAAATTTTTAATGTAGTAAAAGAATTCTTAGAAATATGCCATTATTTACAATTGAAAACCATCACACAAATTATTTATTTATTTACGGGCAAGACCCATTAAAAGTTTCAAAAGAAAAAAAAACAACAAGAAACATTAAGTACCTTACAACTAAATAAACATAGGCCAGTAATACTTGGCGTAGTAACAGGATAAAAATACATATAAATTATTAACAGTAAAACATTAAATCAGTTATAGGTATAAGAAAATAGAGGACAAACATAAATAATGACTGATCAAGATGACTAGAAATTCTTAGCTATCGAACTTGGCATCACAAACAAACGAGGAGAATTACATTAGAGAGTTAAGCTCTTTTTTAAAGCTATTTATGGGTCCAAAAAAATCCAGGCTACCATGGGTGTTACATAATCGAGAAGTTCTGGAGATGAATGTATTGAAACCATAGTTTGTACGGTGATTTCTTTCTGAGAAGGTTATGGCAGAGCGGGTGTCCCTTGCTGGGACGTGAAGCCCTATTCTGGACAGTAGGTATGCGGAATCACTAATGGAGTTCAGTACCTTGTAAAAAGTATATAAATCTCTTTGATTGCGTCTAGCTGCCAAGGGTTGTAGATTGAAGCGTCTGTATAGGTCGTCATAGTCATATACATAGTTCTCAAGCGAAGGAATACCTGCCTTGAAGGCTAAATAACGTACGAATTTGCGCTGCACTAGCTCTAGGGCTCTGATATGATTAGAATACATTGGTGACCAGACAGAGGAGCAGTACTCCATCAGGGGCCTCACCATTGAGCAATAAAGGTATCTGATAGAATCTATGCTTGTAAAATCTCTCGAACACCTCTTAATGAAGCCTACAAGTTTTAACGACCTTGTTGTGATGTCTGAAATATGGGTGATAAAATTGAGACTGCTGTCAAAAATGACACCAAGATCTCGTTGTTGTGAGACAATTTCAAGCGGAATGTTGTTTATATGGTACGCGAATTGTGGAGGGCTACGACCCTTGGAGAAAACAATGGCTTTGCATTTGGAAGCATTGAGCTCCATGCCGCTCAAAGCGCACCACTCAGAGAGTCTGTCGAGGTCAGATTGTAGTCTGGCACAGTCTTCAATAGAAGAGACCCGGGTGAACACCTTTAAATCATCCGCAAAGCACAGGAACTCACTGTTAATAAAACAAGACTTGATATCGTTAATAAAAACGTTGAACAGCAGAGGTCCCAAGTGAGAACCCTGTGGAACGCCCGATGGGATGTCAATTTCGTGTGAGAAGAAGTTGTTAACTTTGATTATTTGAGTTCTCTCCCCAAGATAGTCGCTAATCCACTTCAACAAAGTACCGGAGATTCCAGCACTTTCAAGCTTAGCAAGCAGAACGGCATGGTTGACACGGTCAAAGGCCTTTGCAAAATCGGTATATATGGAGTGAACTGATTCGCCATCCTCAAGAATTCTTGAAACTTTGTCCTGGTAGGACAGGAGATTGGTTTCAGTTGAGCATTTTGGACGGAAACCGGTCTGCTGCTCAATTAGACAGGGATTGATTTTTGGAGTTAAAAACTTTGTCACTATGCTCTCAAATACCTTTGGGAAGGTGTTTTGGATGATAATGGGTCTGTATTTTGAAATATCCATTTTATCGCCAGATTTATGAATGGGTATGGTGAAGCTCTGCTTCCAGAGTTTAGGAAATTCACCCAAACTGAGTGACTTGTTGAAAAGAATGAAAAGTGGACGGGATAATACAAAGCTACAATTCTTTAACATAAGAGGTGGGACACCGTCTGGACCTGGACCCTTAAAAGACTGCAGGCTACATAGTTCTTCATAAATAACTGATATTGAGATGTTAAATTCATGAATATGTGCATCGCTCCGAGAGATGTCCTGACTAGCAACACAGATTTTGTTGGAATAAACAGAATGGAAGTATTCAGCAAAGAGATTAGCTATCTCTGAACCATTTTTGGCAATGTTGCTATTATAAAACATGTGAGACGGCAAACCATTCGCTTTTCGCTTGGCATTGATAAAACTCCAGAAGTGTTTGAGGTTGTGATCATTCAGCAGTGACATTTCAGAGCGCTGCACATAATTCAGATAGGAGTCCTTTGAAAGAGTCTTACACCGAGTGCGAAGATTCGAGAAGTTGTCATAGTCACTAGGAGAGTCAGTCCGCTTCCAGGTTCTGTGTGCTTCTTTCTTCTTGATTATGAGTTCCTTTAGGTCGAAGGGGAACCATTTAGGAAATTTATGGGTGGAAAGCTTTTTCTTTGGTACAAAGCAGTCAATAGCAGTGTAAAGAATGTCATAAAAAATACTGACCATTTCTGCTACAGTTGGGCCTTGGAGTAAAGCATCCCAGTTGATCATACTTAGATGATCATTGAGAAGTGCATACTCGGCAGATTTAAAATCATAGTAGTAATCATCAGGTTGCGGGTAGTCTGAGTTACACTGCTGGGTCTCGGCACATAATATGTTTAATATTAATGCAGGGTGATATGAATCAATAGGGAGAAGGATGTCATCTGCCAAGGTGCAGGTGTCATCAGGATCCTGACTAAACATCAGGTCTAACAGAGAGCCATGCGCATTGTGGAACTTGTTTATTTGAAACATGTTATGGTAAGCACTCATGTTGGATAGGTACTCAGTAGCTGCGCGCTCTGAGGGAATAGTGGAGGGGGTTGCAGTAGCACTTGAGCTCAGGCCGTCATCAACCCATTGTGCTTTGGGTAAGTTAAAATCCCCAAATATGCAGAGCTTGTAATCAGGAAATGTTTCAGATAAAGTATCTACTGAGTCTGAAAAACACTTATAATTATCTCCATTAGATTTCGGAGGTAGGTATACAGCTCCAAGCAATAGTTTACTATTAGCAGACTGCACTCTTACAAATAACTGCTCAATGGTTGAGGCTGATTCACAAATGGAACTGAGAATGTTATTCCGGACAGCTATTAATACACCTCCCCCCCTTAAGGATGTGCTTGTTGCTGGAGTTCGGTCACTTCTGTAAATATTGTAATTGTCCATGCCCAGTTCTACATCAAGAAAGTTATCACTCAACCACGTTTCTGTAAAAACGAGTACTTGGTATGCAACTAAAGGAATGGAACTGATTAGTTTTACCAATTTAGTACGCAATCCACGCACGTTCTGATAGTAGACTGATACAGAACTATTTAGTTTGCAAATACCTCCTGATTGACGGCTAGATTCTGAAAATTCTGGGACGAATGAAAATCAGCACCAGGGTCATTTTTTGATGTGTCAAGTTTTTTCTTGAAGTTGAATCTACGAAAGATCACACCACTAGGCCAGAATTCGCAGGAGTTCATAGCATTGTAGTGAATGGGAATGACACCAATTTTGAAAGAATTGGTTTTCCCTATAGTTTTAAGCTGATCAATAATTAAGTTTTCCTCACTAATATTTGGCAGTTTTTGAGTTATGTACCTGCGAATTTTAGCAGCTTCCACTGACTGGGCCACCTTTCCGACGTAAAACCACATCTTGTTTCCTTTTGAAGATATAAATTCTTGATTTATTTATGGGAAATATTCTCCTGTTAACAGAATTCAGTTGTTGGGAAATGATTTTACCCAACACCACTATGAATTGATTGATATTGGGTTTTCAAAGTTTAAACTTTATGTTAGTGAATATATTAGAAATATAAGGTAAAATTCCTTAAGTAGTAGTCTATATATTTCTGTTTCTTTTTCTCTTTATTCATTTTTATAATATAGCGTAATAGAGATATTATTTTTGTTTTTGGTTAGAATATTTTTACTTATTGTAAATTTTTGTTAAAATGGGGACAACCTGTATAAATAAATAAATAAATAAATAAAGTGTCTATTACCTACAACTTTCCCATTTGACCTTTCTGGGTAGAAAGGTACCCATTCAAGCAGGTGTGAATGTAAAAGACAATCACCTGGTAGGTACTTCAAGTTATTCCAGGGACACCCTGTATAATATAACTACTATCCCATTAAGTATTGCAAAATAATAATTTTTTAATTATTAGAAACTCTTTGAAGCCTGGTATTTACAAATTGAAAAATAGAAATTTACTGTATGTAAACAGTACATGAAGTTCAAATATACATAGTCTTTCATAAAGAAATAATGACAAGTTTTCATTGTTGCCCCTTTGATTTGGGGACATATTTTGTAAATAATTAGAGTTGGACTTTCTTTTTACCTTGAATATTAAAAGGTTAGAATGAACATGTTATGTTAATTTGAATTAGGATCAAAATAAGAACTCAACTATACCTACATTTACTACGTAAATTATGGGTATAATTTGAAAATACATCTTACCATAGATTTTCCCATATATAGACTCATATAAAACACAATTTTCCACAATTTTATAGTATTACAAACAACTATAATTTCTATTTTATCTTATTCTCAAACTCAATGTGCGTTCAAATTAGAACAAACGCTATTGCCTTATGACAATGGATAATAAAAGTATTTTGTTGTGTAAATAAGTATTTTGCTTTGTAATGCGCTTGACTGTGTGATATGCTTCCAACACAGTCTCAACATCCAGTGGCTATTTTAAGAACCGGAATAATGTGTGATAGGTATACTGATATAATGTCTTTTTGTTTGAATTTCGTATAAATATAATGCACAAATTGAAAAAGTTTAATTTTTTTTCAATTATTTGATTGTTTGGGTTAATGGTTATGTTATGAATGATCCAGGTCTGTTCGCACAGAAATCACAAACCAGTAAAAGTGAATTTAATTGGTTGAAACTAGTTTTCTGACTGTTTTCAACCAATGAAATTCGCTCTGACTGGTTTGTGGTTTGTCATTACTGTGCGAACAGACCTGTGATATTATTGTTGTAGTGGCGACATCTAGTGATGTTGCCGGAATAATCTAATCAACTCATTGATATGAACAGTTTCCTACGCTTGGCAAAAAGGACGTCAAGAATATAATAAAATTCACTTCACATGGCTTAACGTGATTTTGGATCCCTGAAAATTTCAGCTCATTTGGGCTTATAGTTCCAGAAATAAAATAGTGTTAAGCAATTTGGGATTTGGGATAATTAATCAATTTTTCAATTTTTCTGGGTGCCTTTTTTCATAGAATCCGGCTCCAAATCTCAGAATTATTTAGTGTATATGTAGTTTGGGGGATCTGAAAGGACCGTCAAGACACAAAAAGTCTGAGACCTGTGTGCCCCAATGAACTATAACCAAAAACTGGAATGCGCTCACATTTGCCATATCTGCCAAAAAAATGTAGCCATGAAAGACAGGTGCCACAAAGGGGAATGTTATTTTTTTCTGTTGCTCGCTGACATATGACGTTTTGGAAAGTTTTGTCATATTTACCTTCACAGGTTCCATCAATTGGAATACGTGTTGGAAGCAATTTCCGCCATTTAACATAATGAGTGCGACAAAAACAGGTATCCCCTCCGCAGCAGCGGCACTAAGCTTCACGTTCGTCAATATGTGTTCGCATTCCAGTTTTTGACTATAGTAAGCTGTGTTGAAAGAAAGCATCCAAGGTTTGACCACACAAAAAGGGGACGCGCATCTTTAGTGACGTTCCGAGGCTCATGGCACTTGACAATAATAGGCAATCCTCTGATTATCCTTGATTTGTGTCAATCGTTCGACAGCTGTCATTTGTAATTAGGCATTCCAAATCACGTGACTTTCGACATACAAAATGGCCGGTCATTGGCACACAAACCCATTGAACTATAGGGGACAGATGGCATTTTAATTTAATTTAGCCCTATTTACCTGCAAAATTTACCTGTGGAGGTTTAATCATCAGGTTTATTCATAAAAATGTTCATTATTACCTGGAAAATTTACCTTGTGAAGTAGGGAAAAGTGATTAAGGGCGGGTATTATAAAACTACTTTGAGAGTTAACTTAAAGTTAACTTCTGAAATAACATGTAATTCAAAAAGTTAACTTCAAGTTAACTGACCCTAAATAGGTGTCAACGGAACTGATAAGGCTCGGATTGGTTCCTCGTTTTTTATTATTATTTTCCAAAAATGGCAAGTTCAGTACGGTTACATTCAAAGTAGATATTTATATAGGCTGCTCATTTGTACTTGCTCTACCTTCTCGAAAAATCAGGAAAATCTGCTAGGACCTGCTATTTATGAGCCTATATATGATGGGACAAGTGAATGCCGATCTGCTTGAAGCAAGAAAAGCAGTAAGCAGTACAAATGAAATAAAAACCCTATCAGTTGAACGTGAAGCAACTTGCAAAGAAGCTGCAAACCGGTCGGTGGAGAAAACAAACAACAAACATGGAAAAAACAAAAATTTCATAGCACTAATCCATTTCTTGTCTTCTTTGGCTAAATAATTCATTTAAAATGCGTTGCATGTTTGAAATTGAAATTATCACAAAATCCTGGAACTCCAAATAATGAAAATACAGAAAAATATTGTTCTCAAACATACATTAAACACATTTAACGTCGTGTTTACCTATATTTGTGTGCCAATGACCGGCCATTTTGGGTTTCTTTGACAGGAGGTTGGAATATTGACCTTTTGTTTGGACGCCATATTGCGGTGCGCGAACATAGTTGCCAAAAGTACAAAACAAATAACTACTAGGGTACTGTCAACATTAGAAACAAAAGTTACCGAATAAATTACATTTAAAATTTAAATTTGCCGCCTATTACGATTGTTTTTGGAAAGAGAAGCCATCAATTTTAGTTTGTATTGGGTAGAATAGAAATAATAAAATATCTACTTATTTACTTTCATCAATCAGAGAGAGAAAGTAAACAAACAAAAAGGATAGCGAGGATCAATCATTTAGTTACTTTTGTTTTTAATGTTAACAGACCGCTAGTAATTAGTGTTTTTTTCTTTTGGCAACTATGTTCGCGTATCGCAATATGGCGTCCAAACAAAAGGTCAATAGGGCATGTCCATGTGACGTCACAAATGAGTTTGACAGTTGCCCTGAGGTAAAACAAATAATTTATTTACATTCGTGTAGATTAGGCCGGTTATGTTTTATGCGGTTTTCACAGCTTTTTTACAAGTTTTGGTGTTATTTTGTTTTAAAAAAGTTAGAGCGGAGTGTTTCAATTCCAGTCTATGTGGTTTTTTATCTAAAAGTTTACTAGGTTTTCCTATAATGGATTAAATTCAGGTTTTTTCCAACAAATATCAAAACCAAGTGTCACAAGAACAAATATATAAGTATAGTTACTCTATATTCAATCTATTTTTCTGTCAGAACTTCTCTTTTAAGGACAATAATCAATTTTTCTTTTCTTTCTTGAGCTAACAAATGAAACCTCCCATTGTTATTTAAAATTGATGGAAAGCTATGGAAGAATATTGTATCCCTTGCGCTATACTGCCATAATTAACAACTAAACAAACTCTAGGCATGTCCAAGAAACTTCTGGAGAACACAAAAGGTATTTATTGTAAAAAATCTGACAAAAAACTTAAAAAACACTGTAAATTATATCTTTGTTTTACCTCAAGGCGACTGTCAATAGTGTCAAACTGTCAGATCGTGTACTTGCCCTATTGGCTGTCTTTCTCCGCCTCTCTGACAAAGATGTAACGAAGAGACGTTACATATCTTTATTTTCTATCGTGTAACGAAATTTTCCAAAACGTGACACGTCATCCGTATCCCATTCTCGTCGAAATATCTGACCGACGCTCAGAAGTTTCACTTCAAAAACCTAATTAGTTTGGTCTGCTGGGTGCGTCTGTTGCAGAGCAGAGATATGTAAAGGACAAATAGAACGCGCAGACGACTGCGCAGACGACTACGCATCCGATCACGTCACGTGTCAAGAGGCCGTTTTAGAAACCCTGATTCCATCCAAGGATGATACACACTCACTACTACACTCTATTTTTTCCCAAGATAGATTTTGACATTGTCAACACCTACATACAAACATAAACAATACCGCGCGAGGCTCTGATTGGTCGCAAAATGCCGTGTTCCTGCAGGTGAGGTATCCTTTTACATTGGAGTGCAGGTACACGGCATGTTGCAACCAATAAGCGGCATTGTTTGTTTCAAAGTTGTCATTGTCAAAATCTATCTTGGGAAAAAATAAACTGTACTACAGGATGACTTATCCTCATAAGGCCTGTGTGTAACAAATCCCCCAACGCCAAAATACCAGTTGTGACGTAGACAGAATGTCATTTCTTGCCTTGACGTAGGCAGTTTAAACAGCTGACGACTTAGTTATGACGTCGGAAATGGTATCACACCAATATGGCGGCGATTACCAAAAACGAGGCTGATGTGTACTCCTTATGCCCCATTCTCACTTGCGCGAAATTCGCTCTTTTTTGACATTGAATCAACAAATTGACTTTTGATACTCGCATAAAACGTTAAATTGTCGAAGATATCCCCTCGTTTTTATTCTAATCGATGACTTCACCGATGAGTTAGCTATCTTCGTTTAGTGAATGGAAAATGACAATGACCGACATAGAATGGTGGATCCATCGGTAAAATTTTATGATAATAAAAATGCAGGGAATGTCAAAAAAGAGAGCGAATTTCGCGCAAGTCAGAATGAGGCATTAGAGTGTGTATTCTCCCTGGATTGCAACAGCCGATCACCAGCTGTTTGTTATTTATCTTTTTCTAATGAACACGATTGAAAAAAGACAATGTACATCAGCCTCAAGATCAGCCTGGTGATTCCGTAGTCAAATGTTATACTTAAAACTGGAAAACTCGAAAACTATTGACATTGTGTCATTGACGTTATTTTTAGTACATGTGAGCACAATGTGAGCATTTTCACTACAAATGGGGAACATTTTGATAACTTCCCGTTGGCAACACTGCTTACTTTTGGTAGGTTACGGGCGTTACGAGCCGTTACAGATTGTTGTTGTCGGCGATTTTTTCTGCTATTTCTGAGATATTTTTTTATTAGAATCGGTGTTTTAAAAGACTTCTTTTTGTCATTTCTGCTTATTTTTGGACATTATGGAGGTTATTGAGTTATGAGTTGTTCATAACTTATTTTTCCAACACCTGAATTTGATAACTGATAAAAATGACGGTCCTTCAAATTCGGCCAGTTGCGCAGGATGAACCATCATTCTCTCCAAGCTCAAGGTTCCTAAGGTTAATGGGTTGCATTGCATTATGTTGAGATTCCTCAGATGACGCCATAGAGTTATCAGCAACCTACCTCTCCCAAACAACCTTGATTCTATCCTAACCATCCTTAGGCGTTAAGCGGCAGTCTGAAAATTTGTAAGACGCGTCACGTAACTTCACGTTTTGGGAAATTTCATTACACGAGAGAGAAGAAAGAAAGAGATATGGTAGAGAGACGAAGAAAAACAGCCGATACCCTTGTGACGTCACTACAGATGCGCGTATCCCTTCGTCTTTACCCCAACTCATACGCTAAGTCTAAAAGTTGTATGAAGGGGGATAGTTTTCAATAAGTTTCACTTCTACCACGTGTACGGTGCTGCACATGACGTTTGACCGTTCGATTACACTTGACAGTTCAAAAATGAATTAAACGTCATTTATGAACCCTTTTCACGTGGCTCCGGTTTAACAAACCGCAACATACCGCTCAAATTCGAGTGGTAGGTATCCATCACGTCACTTTGTAACCGGGTTAGAAAACGGTATGTCATTTCTCTAACCGTTTTGTAACCCGGTTAGTTTAAACCGGAGCCACGTGAAAAGAACTATTGATTTTCTGTCAAGACTACCGATTGGTCAATCGCTTGAAAACCGCCAATGCTCAATGATGACGTATTAATTTGGCTGGCTGACACACAGCTGACTCTCACTCTACGCTCTCTACTACTCTATAACTAGTGAAGTTACTGCCAAATGATGGTGAAGTGAGAGAGAGAGAGAGAAAACTGATGTTCACAACACTCTCTATCACACTGTTAAAGTTTCTGTCAACTTAATTATTAAAGTCACTTAAATAGAAAAAGAACCATATGAACTAAGAACCCATTCCATATAAATCAAGCAATAAAAGTTATATTGAAAAATAGATTCGATGAATATTTTTTAGATACGCCACTGGTCCCGATCTTCTCATGCCAAGTCATTATTTGAATTGAACAATCTGCATATTCTTCATTAGGGTTTTGTGTACCTATTTCTTCATAGAAGAGATTGCTTTTGAAACTATATTTCTCCTTGTTGATATTGAATAATTTTCTAAGTTGATAACCATTATCAGTACCTAATTTTTGTCTAAATTCGGTTTGATATATAATGTATGTATGTATTTGGTAAAATGTAAATTTACCATATTATGACGATTATATCTTCAAAAGCAAGTTTTAAAAAACCAGTTCTTTTATCATCATGTTTTACCAATTTTGATCATTAATGACAAATTTCAGCTTTTATATCCTGTTTATTATTTCTAAAGTTCTTCATATAGATTTTACACTATGTGTGGAACATCTTTGATACTTCTATTTCTGCTTTTAACGATGATTTGTTTCAAGGACTAGGCCCAAAAGATTATTACATATATTATTTATCAACTGTAGGTATCTGTAATTTTTTTAAAATTTTATCTTTAATTTTATGAAAATTTAAAAGTGTTTGTCCTACTCACTTTGATTGATATTCCTCTAAGTATTAGGCATATCTTTTTTGAAGTAGCGCAATTTATCATAATTTTAAAATCCTTCAAAGGTCGAATAATAAATTATACAACATGTATAGGGAATTTAATGACTCAAAAACTCATGTGACAAAAAAAAGTCCTATTCTTATCTACCTTTACAAAACCTTTTAATTATTTGAAAAAACTAATATAGGTTTAAAAACAATAAATACTTAATTCCAAATTATCTTTTTATCAATTTTTAATTAGTGAGCACCTTTCTAAAACGTTAATAAATACAATTTACTTTATTAAAAATTACGTTACGGTTTTCGCATTCGCAAGTAACTCTTAAGTAGTGGAGGATCCTGAACTCAATAATCAGGGTCCGATCGCAAACAATGTAATATCGCTATATAAAGTGACCGTACGCGAGATAAAACGCGCTTTTAGTAGCAGAACCACCCGCGGTACCACTTCACCAACAAATAATTGATCGGTACTTTTTTTTTGCCGATTTTTGTGATTAGTTTGTAGTAACAATGGAGGCAGTTTTAATGGAAGCCTCATCTGTTGAACAACCGAAACAGGGTGTTATTATAAGTGAATTAGTGACGAAAAATGGCACTAAAAGTGAAATTTCGGCTTTTAATATGGTACCATCGAACGCTTTAGTGGATATTAAGTTTGAGAATGTTACTTTTACTGCTACTGAAGGAAGTCTTTTGAGAACCAAAAGTAAGTTGATTAATTTTGTATTAAACATCAAGCAAAAATTATCATTAAAAAATAACCAAAAATGAAAAAATTCGCCATCAACATCATCAAGGGCAAGGAGATCAAGTTTTTGATGGCATTGACACCGCATATACAAGAACCCCGGTTTGTGGTACCAAGGAAGATTCCATTAATTTTCAAGGTGTTGAAGTAGTTCCTTTAAATATTTCTTAATGAATATTTTTTTGGAATTTGTATTAGGTGCATGACGACAATTCCGTGCAATTAATTGATCAACTTTGAACGCAATTAGCATTATTGGTGATTATTGAAGAGGTATATAATTTTTCAAAATGAACAATAATTATGAGTTAGGTACTTTTAATCGAAGAAATATTCACTTTAGTGTCATTATACATAAATATGCTTTCTTTATCTTAAATTTATTACAATTTATGTTTACCAAAGGGGAATGTTTTATTTTTTTTTTAGTAAAAATAGTAGCAGTTCATTGTACTTATTGAGGGCTGCAATGTTTTATCAAACAAAATTGTCTGCCAAATTGAATCGTAATATACGAAATTTTGGAAGAATCTCATCTGTGGATGAATAACTGGCATCCCAAAGCCAACCTGGTCACATTAGGTCAAAGATGACGACGTTGCGGCGACGTCCGAAAATTATGTTCATCATTCTAAGTTTAAACGTGTTCGAATAATCGTTGTAATGCGACTTTATAGCTGTAAAAACCTAGTATGGTCACTACTATTCTGACGTTGGAATCGAATTCTTGTCTGATGGTGACACAGGCCTAGTGTCGAAACGTCTGCAACTGTATTAAGTTCATGCAAACAAGAAAAATTATTGATTAGGAAATTCGAGTTAATGTGTTTCAAATTTTCACCACGAATTGGCAAAACTAATCACTTCTCAGTCAATTTTTCTCCTTGTGCTGCACTTCTTGATCTATCAGTTAATTGAAAATATCGATACATATGCATTTTAGAGAATTTTTGAAGCCTTTTGGCACTATATACACTTTCTCGTGCCAAAACATGTACAAACTTATTCTCTTCTATTGTAGTATTTCCATATCCGAGATGAAACGAATAATTTTTGATGGATCAATGGATCAAGAGCCAGATAATCAAAATTTGAACTATTACCGGCTCTTAATTCTTTAGAAAACCTTCCTAGAGCCAATCAAGAGCCGGTTATAGTCAAAATTTGAACTTTTTTCCTCTCTGGATTCGCAAGAGAATTTTTCTAAGGGTATTAAAGCTCAAAAGCTGATAATAATCAAAATTTCGAATGATGACCAGAAACTCTTGGGTTGATATTAATCAAAATTTCTTCTTCCGCAGCTTCTAATTGGCTCAAAAAAAATTATCCAATAGATCAAGAGCCACAGATAATCAAAATTTGAACTATTACCGGCTCTTAATTCTGTAGAAAACCTTCCTAGAGCCAATCAAGAGCCGGTTATAGTCAAAATTTGAATTTTTCTAAGAAAATTCAAAGCTCAAGTGCCGATAATAATCAAAATTTTGAATGATCATTAGCAGCTCTTAACACGTTGATGGACAGACCGTCTATAGACGTCTAATTTTCATCGATGTTATGTAACACAACGTCTATAGACGACATTTTAAAAATAACAAGTTGTAACACAACGACGGTAGTCGTCGGCTCTCACATATAAAAACTACACGAACAAATTTATACTGTCACCACATGCACAGAGAAATATAGATCACTCTGTCACCTCATTTTGACATTTGGCCGTTTAGAAGTAGGGGGTGGGTAACGCATGTCTAGTCGACAAAATGACAGTAGACGTCACTAAGCTGCAAGCTGCCATTAGTCAGACATTGCTGTATTTTTGTTGTGTCACAACGTGTTCAACAAACTGGTCAATTGAATAAGGTGTATACGGATATTTGCATATAAAATGTAAATAGTTTTCATATAACAATTTCTTGTGTACTGGAGATTCAGGAAACTTCAAACGGGTGTATTTTTTCGTAGATTTGTTGATGATTATTCTAGAATAAGTTTTGAGGTTACGTACATACAATAAATATTTTGCGCGTTTCGGAAATCGTCTGTGAAGTCTATAAACGTTAAATGTCACATTACATTTACAGATACATATGTAATATATGACACACGTCCATGGTCTTCTTTTAAATGTTTACAATTAAAAAAAAAAAAACTGCTAAAATCTGCTGGAAGTGAAAGGACCGACATCGGACCACTCACAAGAAACCTAAACCTAACTATTGCCACCACTAAAAAAGCGAACTCAATTTTAACGCGTGAGAAAGAGAAACCACGATTGTAGGATGAATTAAACGAAAATTGAAATGGAAATATGTGAATATCCATATTTTTTCTGTTCCAGGCTCTTGAATTTTCTTTATTGAGACAAATTCGAGGTCTCTAAACCTAGCAGTCCCAAGGTGGAAAAAAACTTCGGGAACTATATAATAATTAGGTGCTTTTTAGGTGCTTAGGGCCTCTAATTAAAAATTAGGTGCTCCTTTAGATTTTGAGAAAATCAAAAAAAATTAAGGGACTGCTAGGTTTATAAAAGCTAGGAGTCCCCTATAGTGAAAAATATTTTTTCAAATTTTTTCTTTATATCAGAATTAGGTGCTTTTCAGGTGCTCCTAACCTTGCGTTCGGTATTTTGCTCGAAGAGCAGAGCGTGCAGAGCGGAGCCGTAACCACGTGACCAGCGAGCGAACAGAGCAGTTGAACGCTGTATAAAAGTGCCAGAAATTTTAATAAACGAACGCGAATGAGGATACACCGAGTACACTTTTTGAATAAACGAACGGTAAAGTCAAGCTCGGAGAACTCAGACCAAAATAACGAACGCACGGTAAATAGTCGAAGAAAGAATGGAATTGAATAATTATTAACTGAGTTACAGATTTTTTTTTAATTATTAGAGGACTTCTAGCTTTCATAAACCTAGCAGTCCCTTAGTTTTTTTTGATTTTCTCAAAAACTAGAGGACCACCTAATTTTTAATTAGAGGCCCTGATAAGCACCTAAGAAGCACCTGATTATTATATAGATCCCGAAGTTTTTTTGCCATTCTGACACACCAACATGTAAACGTAAAGCCAGCAGTCCCCTAATAATTAAAAAAAAATCTGTAACTCAGTTAATAATTAATCAATTCTATTTTTTCTTCGACTATTTAGGAGCACCTAAAAAGCACCTAATTCTGATACAAAAGAAAATTTTGGAAAAATATTTTTTACTATAGGGGACTACTAGCTTTCATAAACCTAGCAATCCCTTAGTTTTTTTTGATTTTCTCAGAAACTAGAGGAGCACCTAATTTTTAATTAGAGGCCCTAATTAGCACCTAAAAAGCACCTAATTATTATATAGATCCCGAAGTTTTTCTGCCATTCTGACACACCAACATGTAAACGTAAAGCCAGCAGTCCCCTAATAATTAAAAAAAAACTGTAACTCAGTTAATAATTAATCAATTCTATTTTTTCTTCGACTATTTAGGAGCACCTAAAAAGCACCTAATTCTGATACAAAGAAAAAATTTGAAAAAATATTTTTTCTGTAGGGCTAGCTTTTATAAACCTAGCAATCCCTTAGTTTTTTTTGATTTTCTCAAAAACTAAAGGAGCACCTAATTTTTAATTAGAGACCCTAATTAGCACCTAAAAAGCACCTAATTATTATATAGTTCCCGAAGTTTTTTTCCACCTTGGGACTGCTAGGTTTATAGACCTACAAATTCGAGAGCCAGGAATAGACAAAAATTGACTTGGAAAAATTGACTTACCATGGAGATTTTTGCTAAGAAAAGTGGCATTTTTATTTGAAAATTACCGTGCCAATTATGGAAAATTCGATACCTCGCACTACAAAACTCATTTCAAAACACTTTCCCGCACTGAAATCGAGAAATACCAGAGCAAAATACTACAACGGTCATTTTTGTTGAAAAACACAATTTTAAAATGGCCGTCCAAGGCCTACTTTGATGTTTATTTCGAAAGGTGAAGTTAGCTGATATAACAGGGACTCAATCAGAGATATGGAAGAGTTGTTGGTTAGAATAGAATAAGGGCCATCCTGCGCAACTGGGCGAATTTGAAGGACCGCCATTTTTATCACTTGTCAGATTCGGGTGTTGGAAAAATAGGCATGAACAACTCATAGCTCCAAAACTAAGCAGAAATAACAAAAAGAAATCTTTTAAAACACCACTCTGATAAAAAAATATTTCAGGAAAAGCAAGAAACATCGCCAACAACAACAATCTGTGTAACCGACCAAAAGTAAGGTTATGTTGTGAATAATCTTTCAGATTGAAGTTGTCAACATAACGTTTCCGATTACCGATTGATAGATTTATTACGCACCGAGTGTATATTCATCCTTTTTCATCAACCTGTAGAAGAAAAAGATAGAAATAAAAAAGAATTGCATTAGATGTACCAATCGGAAACGGCATAAGTAAAAACAAGTAAAAAGTGATAAAAATGGCGGCACCCTATGCGTTACCATAAAATCGGATGCGCAGTCGTCTAAACGCATTCTAGTTCTTTCTCACATATCTCTGGACTCAATACACCTTTGCAGTGGTGACAATAGAGGTCCCGTCGCCATATTTTTGCTAATTTTGAATATTTCATTGGTGAATATAAAAGTGAGCCAGGCCCCCTCCGCCAAATTCTTGCCAATTTTCAATATGAACATATAGGATTTCAAAAATAGAACGGCAATTGTCGCCACTATAGCTATGAGAGTTTCGACTTACCATATGGGAATAGTTTCTATGAAAAATGACATTTTATTTGAATATTAACGTGCCGATTATGGAAAATCCAATTTCTCGTTTCACAAGAAACATTTTTCGCACTGAAATCTGAAAATATTCGACACAAACCAATGACGGCCAAAAAACACAATTTTAAAATGGCCGCCCAAGGCCTGCTTTGATATTTTTGAAATGTGCTAATGAATAATTTTCACTT